CCTGGGGCTTTGCATCGAGCTGCAGCAGCTGCAGCTGCAGCAACGCGTGCTGCGCCGCCCAGACTATTTCATAAGGGACCACTCTGTCGCTCCAGTCTATCACCACCAAGCGTCTGCTGCTGCTGCTGCTGCTGCTGCTGTTGTCGCTGGTGCTGCTGTCGCTGCTGGGAGCAGCACGGCTGGAAAAATCAGCACTGCTGTTGCCGGAGAGGCTTGATGCGCTGCTGCTGCTGCTGCTGCTGCTGCTGTAGGTGCTCCGTCTGTTAGCAGCCCATTTGCTGAGGCGCTGCTGGTTTGCTGCTGCTGCTGCTGCTGCTGCTGCACCTGCTGTAGCTGTTGCTGCCTGTGGCGCAGACAGAGGGCTGGTAGCTCTGAGTACGTGAAACGCAGCAATAGATTTTAGCTGAAGCAGCAGCAGCAGCAGCAGCAGCAGCCAATAGGCTGCACGGGCCTTCCTAGGCGTCATCTGCTGCTGCTGTTCTCTAGATTCTCAGTTGTTTCTTGCTGTTGCTGCTGCTGCTTATGGTGCTGCTGCTGCTGCTGCTGCTTGGTGTATTTCGTGAGGGGGGCCCCCAGAGGGGCCCCCCATAGGGGCCCCAGACAAAGGCCCTTGGAGGGGGGCCCTCAGACCCCAAAAAAGAGGACACAATTATATTAAATGTTCAAATTTCAAGCAAATGCATACCATTTCAGCTGCTTCTGCCGCAGCAGCAGCAGCAGCTGCTGCTGCTGCTGCTGCTGGTGCTGCATCGAGCTCTTGGGGGGTCGGGTTCGGCACGCTGCATGCTGCGGCCTTCTTGGCTGTTTGACCAGCAGCAAATAAATAAATTAATTTTAAATTATTTAAATGTTTTTATTTTATTTAATTCTTTTTTTCATTATTTGAACGAATTCATTTGGCGGGAAGGCTGAAGACTCCCCAGGCAGAGCCGCAGCAGCAAATCGACGCATGCAGGCAGCAGCAGCAGCAGCAGCAGCAGCAGCAGCAGCAGTTTCAGTGACTTCAAGTAG